TGTCACCACTGTGTGACTGTGTGTGACCGCACTACCTTGTCTCTACTGTCTCCACAATGTGACTGAGTGTGACACTATTTCCGTGTCTCTACTGCATCCACTGTATGACTGTGTGTGACCGAACTTTCGTGTCCTTACTGTCACCACTGTGTGACTGTGTGTGACCGCACTACCGTGTCTCTACTGTCTCCACTGTATGACTGGGTGTGACCCTTATTTCCGTGTCTCTACTGCCTCCAATGTGTGACTGAATGTGACCGCCCTTCCGTGTCCCGACTGTCTCCACTATGTGACTGAATGTTACCGCACTTCCGTGTCCCTAATGTCTCCCCTTTATGACTGTGTGTGACCGCACTATCGTGTCTCTACTGTCTCCACTGTGTGACTGAGTGTGACCCTATTTCCGTGTCTCTACTGCCTCCACTGTATGACTGTGTGTGACCGCACTTCCGTGTCCCTACTGTCACCACTGTGTGACTGTGTGTGACCGCACTACCGTATCTCCACTGTCTCCACTGTGTGACTGAGTGTGACCCTAATCCGTGTCTCTGCTGCCTTCACTGTTTGACTGAATGTGACCGCACTTCTGTGTCCCGACTGTCTCCACTGTGTGACTGAATGTTACCGCACTTCCGTGTCCCGACTGTCTCCACTGTGTGACTGAATGTTACCGCACTTCCGTGTCCCTACTGTCTCCACTGTGTGACTGTGTGTGACCGCACTACCGTGTCTCTACTGTCTCCACTGTGTGACTGAGTGTGACCCTATTTCCGTGTCTATACTGCCTCAACTGTGTGACTGAATGTGACCGCACTACCGTCTCTACTGTCTCCACTGTGTGACCGCACTACCGTGTCTATACTGTATCCTCTGTGTGACTGAATGTGACCGCCCTTCCGTGTCCCGACTGTCTCCACTGTATGACTGGGTGTGACCCTTATTTCCGTGTCTCTACTGCCTCCAATGGGTGACTGAATGTGACCGCCCTACCGTCTCTACTGTCTCCACTTCGTGACCGCACTTCTGTGTCTCTGGTGTCTCCACTGTGTGACTGAGTGTTCCCGCACTACCGTGTCTCTACTGCCTCCACTGGGTGACTGAATGTGACCGCCCTACCGTCTCTACTGTCTCCACTTCGTGACCGCACTTCTGTGTCTCTGGTGTCTCCACTGTGTGACTGATTGTTGCCCTATTTCCGTGTCTATACTGACTCAACTGTGTGACTGAATGTTACCGCACTGCCGTGTCCCTTCTGTCTCCACAGTGTGTCTGTGTGTGACCGCACTACCGTATCTCCACTGTCTCCACTGTGTGACCGCACTACTGTGTCCCCACTGTCTCCACTGTGTGACCGCGCTACCGTGCCCATACTGTCTCCACTGTGTGACCTCACTTCCGTCTCCCTACTGTCTCCACTGTGTGCCCGCTCTACCGTGTCTCTACTGTCTCCGCTGTGTGACTGATTGTGACCACACTTCCTTGTCTATACTGTCTTCACTGTGTGACTGAGTGTGACTACACTACCGTGTCTATACTGTATCCACTGTGTGACTGAAAGTGACCGCACTACCGTGTCCCTGCTGCCTCCACTGTGTGACCGCACTACCCACTGTGTGACTGAGTGTTAACGCACTACCGTGTCTCTACTGTCCCCACTGTGTGACCGCACTACCGAGTCCCTACTGTCTCCACTGTGTGACGGCACTACCGTGTCTCTACTGTATCCACTGTGTGACCGCACTACTGTGTCCCCACTGTCTCCACTGTGTGACTGATTGTTGCCCTATTTCCGTGTCTATACTGCCTCAACTGTGTGCCTGAATGTGACCGCACTACCGTGTCTCTACTGTCGCTACTGTGTGCCTGAGTGTGATCATACTATCGTGTCTATACTGTCTCCACTTTGTGACTGAGTGTGACCGCACTACCGTGCCCCTACTGTCTCCACTGTGTGACGGAGTGTGACCGCACTACCGTGTCTCCACTGTCTCCACTGTGTGACTGTGTGTGACCACACTACCGTGTCTCTACTGTCGCTACTGTGTGCCTGAGTGTGACCATACTACCGTGTCTATACTGTCTCCAGTGTGTGACCGCACTACCGTGTCTATCCTGTCTCCACTGTGTGACCACACTTCTGTGTCGTTTCTGTCTCCACTGTGTGACCACACTTCTGTGTCTCTTCTGTCTCCACTGTGTGACGGAGTGTGACCGCACTACCGTGCCCCTACTGTCTCCACTGTGTGCCCGCTCTACCGTGTCTCTACTGTCGCTACTGTGTGCCTGAGTGTGACCACACTACCGTGTCTCTACTGTCGCTACTGTGTGCCTGAGTGTGACCATACTTCCGTGTCTATACTGTCTCCACTGTGTGACCTCACTTCCGTCTCCCTACTGTCTCCACTGTGTGCCCGCTCTACCGTGTCTCTACTGTCGCTACTGTGTGCCTGAGTGTGATCATACTATCGTGTCTATACTGTCTCCACTTTGTGACTGAGTGTGACCGCACTACCGTGTATCTACTGTCTCCACTTTGTGATTAAATCTGACCACACTTCCGTGTCCCTATTGTCTCCACTGTGTGACCGCACGACCGTGTCTCTACTGTCTCCACTGTGTGACCACACTTCTGTGTCTCTACCGTCAACATAGTGTGACTGAGTGTGCATTAATCGATAAACATACGCGTATCTCTTCGACTGTTTTGATGAACTGGCTAAATGGTGTGAATTTTGACTCAAATTCAGCTCCAATCTGGGCACTTTAATTTGCAAATAAAACAGACAATATTTGGTACTTTTATTTAGTTCAAATTGAATAAAAATGGAAATATAATTCATAACATGATTTATAAAAACATACCGTATGGAATTCTTGTTATAATGAGATCAGAAGAGACAGTGGTGCTCCCTCGCCTTAAGTTTGCTAAACTTTCCATACGCACTCTGATTATTTTAATGGTTTTCATGGTTAAACATTTACATGATGAACGAGATGACATCGTAATAATGGCGACGCAATTGAAAAAATCAATCACACATAAACTTTGTCAGTTTTGCCATGAAAACAAACAATCATATAATTAAGATGCAACCGCAGTCTGTTTACAGGAGAATCGCGGCACTAATAAAGTAGTCGATTCATGTAAACGAAAAGAACAATTACGTGTTCAGTGCTTATTGGCCTTTGGGAGAAGTATCTCCCTCCGCACTATTGTTGACACCTATTGTTTTCTGTTACCATATTGCTGCTATTGTCTCAATCTGTTTTTCTTTGTAATCTACACTAATTGGTCTCCAGATACATGTCTCTGATTAACAGTGTTTTCGCATTTGACATTGTGTGACCATTTCATCGGAACAAAACGTCGAAGTATGATGATTCATGTTTCGAAGACATCTCAACCGAAACGCACTGCCTTTTTTCATGGTATGATGTAAACTTCGAACGTTATAAACTGTAAAAGCTGTTTTTTTGCGGTGTTGAAATATTCGGGTTTTCGCGGCGAGTAAATTACTAGGAAAATGTCGACACGCAAATATTGATTTATTAAATATTTATATTATAGGTATATAGAACATACAGTGCGAAAATTGCAACACCAAGAACAGTTTTCAGGGTCGCAACGCGAACATTTCCACAGGTGCAAAGTTGGAAAAAATGACTGAGTATCTGTAATATCTGATATGGCAGCGTGATCCTCTTTGACAGGAGTTTCATTGTACTATATTGAACTATTCTAGGAACAGAAACGGGTTATTAAGGTTGTTCAATTTTAAGTGTTATTTTTTGTATAAAATTACCTGTAAAACCTAGGAATTATATAATGTTGCCATTGCTAGTGCTTCACACTTCATACTTAGAGGTTATTATATGACCATTTATAAATCCTATTCCTTATCAGCCCGATGGCGGATATAGGCCGAGGGCTGATACGGAATAGGATATGTAAATGGTCATATATTAACCTTTATATCATATACCAATATATAACATCAAAATTACAAGCAATTACACATAAAACTGGCAGAAAATCAAATTCTACCTTAAAGACAATGAACAGCAAATAAAGATAGATATGATGTGTCTACCCAAGTGTTGGGATCTCGTTTAACGAACGGCAAGGCTCTAACCACTTTTTTTTTCATTTATCTATCTTTCTATTTCATGTTTTCCAGATTGCCCCCGACCATCTCCTATTGCCCATGGTACGGCTCCAAGCAACCCTCGTGATGTGGGAGCTTCCTTAACGTACACGTGTGAAACCGGATATGTCGAGTTTGGATCCGGAACTAGGACGTGTGGTACAGATGGAAAGTGGAAAGGTTCGGCTTTCGAGTGTCGAGGTGAGTCTTCAGTAAATAAATAACTCAAAAGACTAGATTGTATCTTAATATTATGTATGCATTATACTTGATCTGTCGCTTATACTTAGTACTCTAGTACGGATGATACTGAGTGTGTGCTGCGGATGGGGAGAGCGG